ACACACACACACGCACGCACGCACACACGCACACACACACACACACACACACACACACACACGCACGCTGCCGCCCGCCCGGCCCCCCATCGTCAAGACCACCACCAATCACCACCATCATCCCCCTTCCGCCCCCAGGACCCCTGACCTCCCGCTCTGTCGCCCACGCCGCCACCTGCCCCACCGACAACATCTTCGACCTGCTGTCAGACGCGGCCGCGCGCGCCCGCTGCCCCCTCGACCTCGTCGCCGCCCACGGCGCGGGCGCGGCGCCGGTGCTGGTGGAGCCGCGGCGGGCGGCGCACATCGAGGGGTTCATGTTCGACGCCGCTGAGCACCTGGCCGGCGCTGCAGGTGGGTGGGTGGGAGTTGAGTGGGTTGAGCAGGGTAGTGGGGTTGAGTAAGAAGTGGCAGAAAGACAGGGTGCAGCAGCTGCCGCGCGGCTGCAAACTTAATTCTTGTTGAGCCGACGGCGGGCTCGCTGCTGCCAGGCGGCACGCGCCTGGCTGGCGGGGATGTGCAGCGGGGGCCGAGGCCGCCCCGCCGGAGCGGCTGCGTTCAGTTGGATACTGCCGACCGCCCGCCGTTTGCTGCTGGCGCGCGGCCGTGCAGGCAGCAAGCGGCTCATCGTTGTGTCGCATCTGCCCAGCACCCCGGGGGACGTTGCACTCTTCCTGGCGCCGCCCGGTGAGAAGGGGCTGCGGGGTCGCGCACGGCGTGGGCGCGCGCCCTGCTGCAGCCGTGCAGAGAAGGGACGCCCGTTCTGAGGCTGCCTGTCTGTGAGTGTTTGGAGAATGCTTTGCTTTTGCAGGAACAATTGGGTCAGCAGCGGCCGCACAAGGCGTGGCGAGTTTGAAAACGTGCGACAATGCCCGGCTGCCAAACCCTCCCAGGCGCGGCCCCCGACTGGGAGGCGCCCGAGGAGGACGTGGCCACACTGAGCGCGGGCGGCGCGGCCGCGCGGCAGCTGGCGCGGGCGCGGCTCGCGCGGCTGGCGCGGCTCTGCGGCGTCAGCAGCATGGAGGGCATCGCCGTGTGGTGGCTGCTGCTGGGTGGGTGGGGCAAGGCGGGACGGGTGTGTGTGTCGGCGGCGTGCTCAGATATATATCCTTGCAGAGGGGTTGCGCGCCTGAGGGCCAACACCTGTGTCAACCTGGCTTTTGGCGGATCACTGGGGCCCCAAGAAGGCTGACCTGGCAGCGCTACCCTTGCCTCAACTGGAAAGCTGCTGCTGCCGCTGCTGCCGCTGCTGCCGCTGCTGCCGCTGCCCCTGCTGCTGCCATTGCCGATGCTGCTGCTGTTGTTGCTGCTGTTGTTGCTGCTGGTCCCCCTGCTGCTGCTTGCCCAGCTAATGGATGCTTCTTGCCCCCACATGAACAAGTTTTCTCAGCCATTGCACCACCACCACCACCACCACCCCTATTACCAACCCCACCACCAGGCGGCCCGCCCGGCAGCGACAGCCCCGCGGGCCAGGCGCTGTGGCTTGAGCTGCTGCGCCTGCTCAGGTGCGGCGCGCGCCCAACCTCGGAGTGACGACTGGCAGGGGCCTGCTGCCTGCTGCCTTGGAGGACAAGCGTGCCTCGCGGTGTGCGGGATGCACGTCTCCGGGCGCAGGGTCTGCGGCCCACTGGCAGATAAGTGCTGGTGCGAGGCCCTGCCAGCTGCCTGCGGCCTCACCTCACACTTGACGGGCCCCTCTCCCCACCAAACATTTCCGCAGCCTCAAGTGCCCCGAGCCCAGCACCATCGTAACCTCGGACCTCGAAAACGGCACCAGCGGCCTCGGCTGGGCGATTGACAACCTCGGGGCTGCGCTGGATGGCGATGCGGAGGCAGCAGCAGGTCTCCGTCTGACGCAGCAGCTGCGGGAGCTGAGCGGAAGCTGGCCGAGCAAGCGGTCGGTGGCTCAGGCGCTGTCCGTCATGCGCGCCGACGCACGGCGGCGCGAGGCGGCGGCGAGGGAGGAGCGGGCGCGGCGGCAGCAGCAGCGGCTGGCGCAGCAGCAGCAGCAGCAGCAGCAGCAGCAGCAGCAGCAGCAGCAGCAGCAGCAGCAGCGAAAGGACCAGATGGGAGGCGAGGAGGGGAGAGACGCGACCGGGCGAGACCAAGAGAGGGCTGCTGCTGCCTCTGCTGCCGCGGCTGCGGCCCATGTAGCTCATTCGCAACGGCACATTGCTGCGGGCGCCGGCGTTGAGCCGCAGCACAGGCGCAAGCCGGCGAGCGATGAAGGCGCCGCTAGCGGGAACGGCGGCCTCCAGCGCGCCGCCTCGGGCGCACCAGTGTCTGGCGCTGCCGCTGGCGGCGCTGGGGGCAGCGGGTTGCTGAGCATGAGGGGGCGCCGCATGGCGCAGCACGCGAGCGCCCAGCCCGGCGGCGCCTCGCTCGCGCCGCTCGCGGGCGCGCCCAAGCGGCGGCCGCCGGCGGCCCCGCTGGGCGGCGG